GTATGTTGGGACAGTCCGAGAATTCATCTGAGTGGGTGATCATAGTGACAGGATCAGCCCCTTTGTCGGACAAAGGTAATGATCGGGGATGCACTCTCTCTGATGGAAACCTAAACTGTCGGCAGTTGATTTCAATCGTTGAAATTTGTTTTGCAAAATATATTTATATAGAGATATATATATTATGGTTTCAAAATTGTTTGCAAAAGGTTTTAATTCCTGGGATCCATGTGAGTAGAGAGTGCAACACTGTTCCTTGCAGCCGAGGGAGAGGTCCTCTCTTATCGGGTAGTGTTTGATCATTATGGGCTGAGAGGTTAAGTATAAGACCATTGAGGGTAATACCTGCCCATAGTCCGTGGGTTTTTATAAGGTGGCTTGGCCCAGGGACCACTTAGTGTAAGTGTTGGGCCCATTAAGAGTCTATAGTGATGGGCTTAGGGGTTCACTATCCATTACAGTGAATTCGGACAAGCCTTGTAACAGAGGCTAGGCTGAACCCATACAAGAAAACCCAACTGGGCAACAGTTTGGAAGGTTAGTGAGCACATTGACTTAATGGGCGTAAAGCCCAATTCGAACTAGTATAATTAGATTATTTAAAGAGGGGCGGTTCTGGGATTTAGATCAGCAGATAGGATAGGGAGTTATCCCTATTCACTCAGAGAGTCCAGATCCAAATAGAGATTTGGATCAAGAAGCTCCTAATGAGATTAGGAGGGTTGATCTAATCTACAGATAAGATAAGGGCTCATCCTTATCTCTTAAAGAAAGTCCAGATCCAAATAAGGATTTGGATTAGGAAACTCCTAATGAGATTAGGAGCTTTCTTTAAGGCTATAAAAGGAGGAGGAGGGCGAACCTCCAGTCACTCAACTCAATCAGATCTCAGATCACAGAAAGAGAGAAGACAGCAACAATAAGACTGCGCCATCTTCTGCTCTTGCGCCCTCCTCCTGCTGCCACCATTGCCAATTCGTTCTCCATTGTAGGAACGATCAAGAAGGGTTCTTGATATCATTTTTGGTGAAAAACTGATATGAAGTTGTGCTCACATACCCTCCATTGAATTCTTACTGAAGGATTCTGTTCTTGTGAAGAACCACTTGCTGATTCTGCTCCACCCTACGCTGTGTCATTTTTAGTGGAAGCAGTCTTTAGAGCATTCCTTGAGTGTGAACACCTTCATTGGGAGTTACTGCTACTCTTTATCAGGTATATCCCTCTTCTACCTTTTGGTTTCAGATCTGGTTCGGTTTAGGTTCAAGATTGATCCTTGAAAATGTAGATTTTCTAAAACAGAGAATGTGATTCCCACATGGGAGAGAGAGAAATTTTTTAAATTTCGCCCTACCTACCTACAGGGTTTGGCTATCCATATAATGGATCTCTCATCCCTCCAGGGGGGAGGGGAAGATTTAGATTTTGCATATATATATGGTACACTCGAAGAACTCCAACTCTTTACAAATGCAATTGAAAGGTTTGTTACATATCTAATGGTATTTAAAAAAAAAGAATTATCATTTGTCGACTGAGTTTCTATTAACTTATTCAATAGTTAGGCTCAGTTTGAAATGAGTACAAATACAAATATATACTGTGCAAATACATACAAAATAATACAAAAGATATGGTTTTGCATTCTATTTATATTTGTACTCCTTGCAAACTAAGCCTTACGAGTTTTACTCTATCCCTTCTTGTTCATTTTATATTAGTGATCACCTGATCTATTCAGGTGGGATGTCGATGGATGAAACTGATCAACTACCGGAATACATGAAAGCGATATATTTTGCACTATTAGATGTTTAGAATGAAATGGAGGAATAAATGAACAGGGAAGGAAGATGTTAGTGTGTCTCTTATGCAAAACAATCGGTATGCATGTTAATACATACATGTATATATTATACTTTCCACTTTCGATCTGTTTCTCTCTTCTCCATTAAAACCAAACACAGCCTAATTAAGGGTCGCCTAGCTAGATGTCAAATTTGTTAACTTGTTGAAAATGATAAATTGTCATCGTTGAGCAGTATAAGGATGTGGCCTTAGTCAGCATTGGCAGTGAGGCCTTTGATTGGGTTGGGTTGTCAAATCTACATATCGTCTCACGACTCATGATGTATTAGGTATATATAAATATAATTAGCAAAGAAGACCATATATATTTTAATTAATTGCTGAAAGTGAATTAAATATTATCGTATATATGTGAAGTGTGAGCAAGAAAGTGTTGATGAATGCTATATGAGGTTGAGGTGTATCAAGTGAATGAAGAGTTCCGGTCAGAGGAGTATCACAATTCACAAACGCATGGAAAGATGATATAAACGAGGAGGAAAGATGTAATGTAATGGTGAATTGGTGATAATGTCAAGGCGCGCGCGGATTCAGATTTTAAGCGTTTACGACTTACCTTTTTATGCAAT